CGTAGACGTAGGATTATTGCTACACAAATGACACAACCACACAGCACACTTGCTTGATCAGACAAAACGGCACAATTCAGACTAAGAGTTTGATCATCATCACACACGATTATTCGACTCTTTCAAGTTTCCATGCGTACTTTGAATATACAGACCAACACTAGTACCTACATGGTCATACTTCTGACAGAACTAAGAATGGCATGCCGTACCAAAATGTGCAACTTAAAAAAAGCATATAAACTAAGCATGAAGATAAGTAGCATATGTATAAGAAATTAAGAACAATGCATACAATTATAAACAAGCGAGCAAAACTTACATCATCCCTTTCTTCTTGAAGCTGCCGTCGTCTTTCTTCCTCTAGCCATTTCTTCTCCTCTTCAAGTTTCTTCCTGTAGGCAGATGTTACAAACTTGTCCTTGTCAGCAAACAGGTGATCTTCCTTGCTCCTCTCTTTATGAAGCTTCCTCTCATACACTATGTCCTGTTCTCGTTTTCGTTGTTCTGCTTTCTCCTTAAGTGCTTCAATGTACTTTGACTGCAAAAACAAAAGCATCGATGCCCCAGTAAGAGATCCAAATATATGTGTCCATTTTAGCTTGCATTATGTGATTCAGATTAGTAGTGAGATTTGTTGCATTTCACATTCTACATTCTGTGCTTGTCTCTGTATAGATGTCTGTTACACATTTAACAAAACCAACAACCTCACTACACCAACGAAGAACCATAAAACATACCCAAAGGCATTATACAAACTAACCATGAAGGACAATTTCGATCTCTACCTTTTACGTTAAAAAAAATGTCATGTTCCACACATTTATCTGGCAAAACTAGCAGGAACCAATCACCAAGATAGACGCCATTTCTCAAATAACTATCTCAGGCTGATGTTTCTTTCCAGCAAACAGACAAACAATTATCTGGAAATTGCTCCTTACAAAATTAAAACTTGAGTGCCCCGGATCAATCACTAAGAAACTGGACACGAACCAGCAACAACATTACACCTCACCGTGGTATACAATCTCCAGTATATCCAATTAAGCATAAATGAACCAGATAAGGCACCCCTAAAAAATTGCATTGGTGCAGGACGGATAATTTACCTCGCGAACAACCTTGGCCTGTATCTTGGGCCGAGCGGCCTTCTCCTTCATATCATCGTACACCTCATCATAGGCAAACACCGAGGGATCCTCCTCCATCGCCTTCTTCTGCAGTTCCTCCACCTGTGCAGTCACACCACGACGCAAAGAAGAAATCAACCATCTAATGGCCCGACAACTGAGAAAGGAGAATGCACAGCATGATTTCCAGTGGTGGAGCCAGGATTGGAGCAGATCCCAGGCTCAAATTATAAGCGCTTATAACTAACCCATGAAGTACCCCTTGTCATGTCATAAAAACCTATAGCTCAATTGCACAACTACGGTAGAATTGAAATCGAAGTTTAAAGATCCAAAAAATAGATAAAACATGACCGAAAATACAAATAGTGGTACAAGAATACAAAAGATGGTACTTCCAAATCAATGAGTTCCTAAAGCCGACGCCATCAACAATAGTATTCGGACTGAGTTGAGCATAAGGTTAATTGGTTGGTAACAGGCACCGGTGGATAAAATCTCTTCATCGTATACTTATATAACTTGACATGGATACAAAATGAACCAATTAATTAATTGTTTAATTCAAGACATAAAAAACAAAAAATTGATGCCTAGCAGCATGGCCAAATACAAATACAAATTTGCTTATGCCCTGCTCAGGCAGTACCATCGCAGGCGGCAAATCCAGGAGCAGCACCTGTGCATCTGCGCGAGTCAGGGAGCAGCGAGCTCGACCAACAGGCTTGGCTCGGTTCCTCTAGAATCAGGGACTGGCGGGAAGACGAGGGATCGACGCGGCAGCCGACAGAGGCGGGGAGCAACGGCA